TCTTGCCGATAGAATAATCGATTGGAAGCCTGTGGGTGGTAATCCTCCGATTGGAGCTACAAAGGCTAAAGCGATGAACTTGATAGAGGTCTATGCGCCCAATCTGGAGGGAGAATATGAGACATTCCTTGAAAAAGTGCAGTGTGCTCTGTCCGAAGTGCCGAACAGAGTAACTCATACTGATGAGCGATTTTAATGCGCACGTCGGAGTAGACGCTGAAAAGTGGAACGGCGTGACTGGGAAAAACGGCCCTAGCGACCTCAACAATAACGGCATGAAGTTGTTGCGGTTTTGCGCAAATAACGGAATGTCCATTACGAACACCTTCTTCGAGCACCGAAAAGTGCATCAGTACACCTGGCACCGGGAAGATTGTGCACAGAAGTCGATTATCCATTAGATAATAGTATGACTTAAGACGCTCAGTGATGGATGTTCGCGTTAACAGAGGCGCAGAGCTATCGACCGATCATCACCTGGATTTTGGCACGCTGTGCTGACAAAATGGGGTACCATGCAAAGATCTGGTGGCAGAAGCAACCGGAGAATCAAATGGGAAACATCATCTTCGGTGGATACGAGAGCGAAATTTGCGAACAACATCGCACGACGGTTTGAACAGATCCCGGTGACGACAACTGATGTTGAAGCCGAGTGGCAGGTCTCTCAGAGCGGCATACTCGAGGCTGCTGCCGAATGTTGCAGATTTAAAAGAGGGTTGGCTTGCCACCTGGAGGTCAAAAAAATCTTCATGGTGAACACGAGAGGTACAACTGGCAGGTAAAGAGAAGAAAGCAGCGTTCAAGAAATGGCTTGGAAACAGAGTCTTCTAACTGCGTGCGATATGTCGAGGCACGCAAGGCGGCAGCCAAAGCAGTGGTAGAAGCCAAAGCTGATTCCTGGGAGAAATTCGGTGAGGCTATGGAATCGAATTTCCATACGGCAAAGAAGATATTCTGGCACACCATCCGCCGGCTCCGAGGTGAAACGAAGGGCAGTCACAGAGTCTTGAAGGACAGGTCTGGACACCCTCTTACCAAGGATGATGACATTCTTCGGCGATTGAGGGAGAACTTTGAGGAACTCCTTAACTCCGCGCAACCGCAGGAAGACTCGCCTGTAGAGCAGAACAGTACGGATATTACTATCTCTGTAGGTGAAATTGCACAGGCTGTGAAAAGCTTGAAAAGTGGAAAAGCTGCTGGAATTGATTAAATCCGCCCTGAGATGCTCAAGGCATTAGGCGAACAAGGCATGCGCTGGCTAATACCTGTTTGTCAAACTGCAATGACTGCGCTAAAGACACCAGCGGACTGGAGAACGGGAGTTATTGTACCCGTATTCAAGAAGGGAGACTACAAGGAATGC